AACAAATCTCGGACCTGAACATCAAAATTAATTATCTCTGCAAAATATTCGTTATTGCACAATACGTGCGCCGTATAATTCTTCCCTACGTGATATTACGCAATCGGAATCAACAGCTGCCGGTAATTGGGAGAATAAAGAACTAAATAACTGGGGTGTTTTTCATTCTAATTTTCAACAGACGGCGTTAAATTTTTGGAATAGAATCATTCTTCGCTTGGGTTGGTAGACCGCTGAACTTTTAGTCCTATTCAATCCAGATTGGAAAATGACCAAAAGAAAAAAAAAGTCCGTTGCTTGTTTTGCATCGAACTGTTACAGTTTCAATATTCAAGATTTTGCGGAGAAAGGGGAGACCTCCCAACCTTCGTATTGCATAAAGTATTGGCCAAAAAAATGAAATTATTTTGACTATTCTATTACTTTCCCTTTATTTAAGCCATTCCGAATATTATTCCTTAGAAGGCTAATCTGTGTTAAAACACAACCATTTTTGGAAGTTTACTATACTTCAGCAGTTATGCTTATATTATGAGCATATGTATGTTATTATAAACATTCATACATATGCTCATAATATAAGCATAACGATCATAATAAACACGAATATGAACTGACCAAGCAGAACGAGAATGCAAATTTTTAAGATCTTGATAAAAATTCAAACGTGTGTAGTATTTGGGTGGGAGGGAAAGAATGCCGAATGTAACGGAATTTTCTACTGCTTTCGCAATTCTTTGAACAATAGAAGGACGGGCACCTGTCTGTACTCTTCGTGCACACCAAAAGTTATGTTAATGCAGAGAAAGGGGGAAAAGCTATTTCCGGGATTATGACTCACCATCTGACGTTCCATATTAGGAAGAAAAGTTGTTTATTTATTTAGTTTTGGCTTTGGTACAGGGAAAAATAGCGCATTCATTAAAAACAAAAGCACTGAAAGCAAAAAATAAGCACTAAAAACAAAACAAAAAATAAGGGCTTTAAAGAAAAAGTAAGCACCTATAAGGGCCTTTATATTTTATTTTCAAATATAAGGACTTATAAGCACTTATAAGGACCGCTACGAATCCTGACACAATTATTGCTAGTATATAATGCAATGAAATGCAACAAGTTTTGGAAAACAAAAGGACCTGTTGACTTTCATTGCACAAAATAAATCCTTTCCTCGTATGCGCTACGAAGTAGGAGTTTTAGGAAATCTCCCTTTATGGTAAAATCATCAAAGACCATCTTGCCAGTTGTGCTATATCTGTTATAGCTTTCAATTCATCAAGTTGTAAGGGGGGGGGAAATGCACCTCTGATCATATCTTTTATCAGTTGGGTTTCTAAGTGGCTTACAATTGTTTCAATTCTCCTTGTAACAGTTCCAGCTGACAATTGCATAACATTATGCCCAATACAATTTCTTTTTTATTTCTAAAATATGCAAAAAGTACATCAGCAGATTCCAACATTGCTTCTTTTATTGTTGCACCATTTACATATGGCTTTTTCTCTTACATTACATATGGCTTTTTAAGTATATGCGAAACTTATAATGATGCCTTTGATGCTTAGAATGATTTGATGAAAGTAGATTGTTGCTTCAAAATCAATGATTTTAATGATAAAATTTTATTTCTTCGAAGTTCAGAAAGTTGATGATACTCTTGAGTCAAACTTTGGGTGCACAGTTTTAAAATATCTCTCAGGGTTACTTTTCTTTGGAATTGTTACAATTTTGTTGCATAATAAGCATATTTATGTAAGATATAATAAAATATGATAGCTGTTTCAAAAAAATAATTGACGACCTCAAAATCAACATTCTAAATTTGGTAATCTGCCTCTAAATTCCTCTCTTCTCACAGGTTCCATACTTTTCTATCTTATGTAACGTTTTAATGCAGATGCCTCTCATCCAATCAAATTAATTCTAAACCAAAACTGTGAACTGAAACTTCAGCCTTCTTGCTATGAAAGTATATAACCTGCCCCTTTTTCCGCGTCAGCTGTCCTGCTGGTAAAACGCTTTTCATCCATGCTGCTGCCGCTTACTTGCTTAAGATGACGTCGTACTTCAAAATGGGAGTTATTCTATTCAAATATTATTAAGAAGTATCTTATCTGAAAAAGGATGATTTGATATGCATGGAAAAAATAAAGATTGTGATTTTTCAAGATATGTTGTGCTAAATTGCGTCATCATGCTTTCCACTCTGCCACCTTCAAACCACAGGATCATTACAATAATATGGCGCAGCCGATTTTCGACCCTACAGGCGTGGAACTTCAGTGCAGTTTATTTCACTAATCTCACATCGTTTAACGAATGGATAAAATAAAAAAGGTAACTATTCATCTGAATTCCCCAATCAAGTCATTAAGGTCTTCTCGGTCATCTAAGCAGTATCGTAAGCTGTTAAGGGTTCCACTGCTTTCATCTACACTTTTAAAATCATTACATATATATGTCTTTATGATTTAGAAAGCAAAACTGGTACTCCCCTTCTTCATTAAAATTATAAGTGTGTGCTTGCTTGGCTTTGGTTTATCGTGGGCTGTTTCAGTCAAAGGTTTGTAAACAAAACCCTGTAAGAAAAACTTCCTGGATGATTAGAGAGTATATAAATGAATCGAAAAAGAAAGCAATGTTAGAATCATAGACACTACATTCCTCATAATTATTGATATCACTGCCTGTTTAAAAGAAATCTGGAGTATGTTTACAATTTAATCAAAATTGTCACAAACAGACAGATAAAGTAGACAGATGTCTTGATTTGTGCCCACTAAGTCGCTCTGTTCACACGTACTGGCAATTGCATCAGAAAGATTACAGTTAAATGCATCCACCACACCAAGCCATAGTGCGCTGTCGGATCAGTCTCACCATAGTCGGCTCCACGTGACAATGAAACATTTCGAGCTGTGGTGATGCAATAAGGTGGCTGTTTGATGCACAGACGTAAAAATACATCATTTAATATATAAACTGCACTGAAAGGCAGAATAATTTAGCGTGGGTTTATTGGGATGGGGTGGAGGACCCCATGCTACTGGCCCCTGATCTATACAATATCTAAGCATTCAATTGCAAAGGTAAATTACGACCATATTCTCTTAACTTATCCTCAACTGTCCCCCCCCCCGAAGCTTAAGATAGTCATGAAAGGACAGATTTGAAAATTTCTCAGATATTAAATTAAACGTTACGCATATTTTGTCAACATTTAATTCTAATGCTTATAAATGCCTGATGAAACGCTGAAAAAATTCCACTCTTCTGGTGCATCGCATTGGCCTTCGAGAGGGTGACATTTACATTATTAAATTTATTTGAAGGTTAGTAACCTTTTTCTTATTAAGAAACTGTCTCGTTACTTTATAGCCACACCCTGTCTAATTATTTGCTATGCAAAATAATCCACAACAATCGAACACAGGCTGGTGCAAGGTCTAGCATTCCATACAGATTTAATCAAACTAATATTAAACTATATGGAGCTCAATCCATGCATCTCGTAGTAACAGAATGCTTCTGGAAACTTTGTTAAAGGGCAATCAGATGGAACTATACCAGCAGCAATGTGTAACATTTCCTAAAGTTGTGAAAGATCCAGTTTGAAGGTCGGATTTAAATTGATAACATTTTTACTCCTGAACCCAAAATGTTATCCCAGAGCACAATGTTGCATGTAATATACTCAAACTGATGCAAAGATGATGTCTGGGAACCCTTCCCTGCTAACACAAGGAATAAATGATTTCTAACTGATATCTGACTTAAGCTATTGATTGAAGGTGGTAACCTCAACTGCACGAGATTAAAACCTCAACATTTTAGCAACTTCTGCTTAACTCGGATAATTTCTTTCATCCTTAACGGTACTTTCCATATATCACTCCCATACAGAAGATAGTGCAAAATAGATCTCCTTGGATATTGCAATACTCTATCACATCCACACAACAACCTAATATACCAAGTCTTACCAATTTAATATTTACAATCCATAAAATAACCTTCACTGTGATGCGTAATACTCAGGATATACACAGAAATACCCAATTCAAATAACATGTACATGGTTATCAGCTTCATGTAACCAAAACTCCAATTACACCACACATTTGATACATCTTCAGTGACTGAAACGGCATATTCCCATATCTGCTCATAGTGTGCTTAATCGGATATTCTGAAGAGTACTTGAAAATATCAACCGTGGAACCAGTGCATACAAATGCATATAATATTGTCAAATGAAACACATGCACATGTAATGAAAATGTGAAATGTGTGCATTGCATTTCTGTAACAATGATTCTTGCAACAATCATTACACTGCACTTGTGTTTCCAGTTTTCAACTTTAATATCCACTCTGTTCTCAGTGCACTCTTTGTCTGTTGCTCTCACCCCCCCCCGTTGTGTTGTTTGTCCCTGCAGTTTTGTCTGCTGGACATTATTCACCTGCCCAACAACTGATAAAAAAAAGCAGGTTGGGCCTCTTGCACTACCTTTCCAGCTGTAGCAACTGCAACCTTCAGAAAAAAGAAAATCTTTAGAGATCACACACTATAAACGTTTTATTAAGTATATACTCAGAATCTAACACAATAGTGCATTTATAGCTTGTTAACCATAAAAAATACTGATACTGAGGTTGCAATTTAGTAAGCATTCAGCGCACATTTTTCTTCAGTTTACAAGTCATGTGTAATTTTTTAGACATCAGCACACATAATATGTGGGAAACATTGCACAAACCGTATCTCTGCCTTTTTTCCATATATAATCTGCACAAAATATTTTATGAACAAATTTCAAAATATAAAATTATGATATTCTGAAATATGAGTATATAAAAATATGACAATTCTATTAGAAACAAATGAGGATTTTAAAAAATCTCCTCTTTACATAAGATGTAATTATAAAAACAAAGAACAAAAGAATAAAAATGATGTATAAATTTGTTATATATACATAAATATTATAATGCATTACCGATCACATTATGTCGTGGACTAAATGGTTCGACCACAGTTTGCTCTCGATAGCTTCTAAAGCCTTGAATAACAATCTATGGAAAACAAGAGAAAATAGTTATACATATATAGAGAGGAAAAGACCGAGAATAAAAAGGCTGATAGTCAAAAAAATGTTTATAAATAATACCTACAAATTGTCAATCGCAAGATCTAAGAACATACATTTACTACACATATTTATTTAAATGAATGGTCCCTTTAAAAAAATGAGATGAACATTTCTCACAGTTCCACAATTGTGCATAATGCCTCATAATTATACTTTATACAGTAACTCTAATTCAGAAGTAAGCAAAACACTTTGTGTCTCACTTGCTACTGAAGCTGGATACGGATGGCCAACAAATAATATGACCAACAAATACTATTACCATTTTGTCAGACAAGTGAGCATAAGAAACAACACTATTACCACTACTTTCTAAAAATAACTACCAAAAGTTCATTGAAATACTGTTGCTTTAAACACAATAGTAACACATATATTAGCTGTTAGCCTGAAATCAAGGAAATAGGTTTGACTCCTGTATAATACTTAGCTGCACATGTCTCCTTGTTTCTTGCGAGTGTAATAATGGTGGACCGCAGATAAACTTATCGATGAGCAAACAACTAATTACCAATGTGTTTGGCCCTTCCCAAAGAATGCTGTCAAACAAATATTTAACCATCTGGGGAGGGGGAATTTGCCACCAAAAAGAACTTTTATAATAAACCAAGGTGTTAACTCTTGTAATCAAAAGTAAGAAATGCAAAATTTAGCACAAATGTAAAAATCAGACGAGTAATACCAGCAATATCATGCAGAATTTTTATTTCCTTTAGCTACATTTTTTATTACTGATAAAATAAATGACACATGGAAAAACAGAGAAATAATAATTATTTTTTACTCTTTGAGCTATAACCATTCATTACCCAGTTTAATTTGGAGCTATGATAAAAGTGTGGGATGGGAAAAGATTTACATTGGCCCTGTTTATTTGTAACTAATGTCGTATTTTTCTTAAAATTAATCTAGTTTCATCAGTTTCCAAAATGGATTTAGATGAAGAAATTGTTTGCTCTAATGACAACCAAATGATCAATGGGTTCAGACATTCACTATGAATGCTACGAGATACCAGGACTATTAACCAGAAATATACCTGGTTAGATGCCACGAGAAGATACTGACACACTTCCTGGCAATGACAATATAACATAAATGCTATAAAAAATGCTTGATAAAATCAAAATTTTAAATACTAGAAAGTGAAAATAAAAATTAACCCCATGGATCTCAGACAGCCAACACAACAGTCATGTCACTGATTATTCCAGGGGAAAAAAAAAAAAAAAAAAAAAATTGTACAAAAGTTTAGTTCTATTTACATCCACATGTATAAGAAATGGCCAAAATTGCATCTGTTTACATCATCCATCAGCTAAGTTTTCATTATGCAGTCACACATGAGGTGAGATACCACTAGATATTTTTATGGTTGATGTTAGTTTTTCTACAAATATTACACCTTAAAAATCAATGAATGTAATTTCAAAACAATTAGTAACCTTAATTAATTAATTATTAGTTACCTGTCCTTTGAGTAGCCACAAGTTTGAAAAAGATATTCCCATTTAAGAAGTCTTTTTAATCTGAATCTCAAAGAAAATTTTTCGAGCAGATTTAGCTATCTTCTTCAGACTTACTACATATATACATATGCAGTAATATAGCAATATAAGAGAAAAATAATAATAAGCATTTTTCTTATATTGCTTTATTTGAGTATATTATATATTATGAGTAGGAATAATGACTTAGCAGGATAGAGAAACTAATTAGATTTCTGTTACCATTCTAAACCAGCAGCCAAATATTACCAAAATAAAACCACACACACTGTAACAATTAAGATCCTAAAGATTACGCCTTCTCCCCCCTTCCCATAAATATAAATTACTTTCACTCATGCATAGCCTTTAACTGCAAAATAACCTACAATGTACTATCTTTTGTCTGTTCTGCAACTGGAATATGTTTTTCTAACTCAGCCAGTCACACCTACGCTACTTCGGTAAACCCAACTTCATGGTAGTTTTTTTATGGGTCTGAGATTTTAACCTACATTTGAACAAAAGCTGTGAACAAAAGGATAAATGTAAAATCCTGAAATCATACTGATTTTTAAAAAAATGTTCTGTATCAGAATGAATTTACGCCACACATTCAATTCAAATTTAAATTAAGAAAAATAAGGATGTGGTTTGTCCATAACCTTAACAAATTATTTTTTTCATCCTGGTATTTTAAAAATGTACTTATTTCTCATTTGTAAAAACAACAATGTACGTAGCACAGTAACTCTAATTATTAACAACGACATTGTTGAAAACTACAGAAATAGTTAGCAGAAAGCTCCTTAGGTGCACACAACTGTAACCTAGATTTTTCAGTGACGATTCTGTATTATGTACCTATTTATGAAAGAAAAGGGGGGTATCTGTCAAATAGTAATTATATTTCCCTGAATCTGCCAGTAAATGATTACTGGTAATTTCTTTTCTTCTCTCTGTTTATATGGTATTCGGTTTCGAGGGCCGTAAAAAATCGCCAAACTTTTGTTGATGCCAATGCTGCCAAAAGTTATTGCGGCAACCCTAACGCAAGAAAGGAAGTATAATAGTAATAACTATCGAATCTGATGTTAATTTAGATGAAAGTTTAAGTTGACATAATATCGCTACCGAGTTATCGATAAAGTAATGTCATCTCGTTGGTTGTTCAAACATAATTCTATAATGATGATGCCTTTCTTGAAAAATTCTCGGTAAAGTGCAGAATTGCCCCTTATTTGTTTGCCGCTTTAAGGGAAAAAACTGGATTTTTGTCCAATTTTCTTTTACTTTTTAATGACAATAGGTTGATGTGTAATAGATAAAGCAGGGGTGTGCGCAGTGCCTTAGTGCATTTTGTGCAATTGGGATTTTTTTTAAGTAAAATAAGTCGATGTGCACATGGATACCAAGTATGTGCAATTCTTAAAACGCGTTCAAGCAGTGGGTGATTCTGCACTTACCATAATTCTATCGCAGACTTTTCATCATGGCAATTCCCAAATTATTAAATCCATAGGTTATCAAAAAAGGAATTAAAAAATTAAACTATTATTTCAATGGGGTTAGAAATATAGAACTATATAAACTTATGCAATCTGAAATCAGCGCTTACGCTAGATTTGGCACTCTGTTAAATGGGCATGTTTGCTAGATTTGGCGCTTTCGCGCATACATTTTCGCTGGAATTTTTTTACGGCCCTCAAAACCGAATAGTACCGTTTATATTTAAATATCATCTTTTTTTTTTTTTTTTTTTCTTTTCCACTTTCCACTCCTACAAATGGCTCATATGCAGGGCAGATCATATTCGGTCTAATACAGTAAGTCTTATACATGATATATAAAATTTGGGATTTTTTTGGGGGGGAGGGGGATGGTAAAAGATGACTATAGTTTCAAACAATATAATTGCCATTTCAAAGAAAATATTGAAATTGCAATACCTACATATTTAAATATGCTTTTACATATTTTAAGTGTGAATATAATCACCGTTGTAACATTTTTGTGTGGTTTTATGCACCGTTGTAACAATCATTGTAAAACAAATCAGGAAACACAAATTGTGTGACATTACAAAAAAATGCCATGCAGAAAGCATTATGATATCATAAAAACATTACGAAGAAAGTAAAATATAAAAGAACTACACTTAAATTTAATTCTTGCATACAGCTTCTGGTGGCAATATACCTGGAACTGTACTAATACAGCTTCAAAAAAAATTTTCTTCTAGAGTGGCACTATATAAATTCAAGGCACTACCAGACTTCTTAGTTATTTTTTACTTTGCAATTTTGCAAATTCCCATATGGTTTTTAATAAAAAGAAATTGAATTTACCATTCTTAAAGTAATACAAGTTCATACAAAATGATTTTTGGTCAAACTTCCAATTTTTTTTAATTAAATTATCTCAAAAATTACATCTCTAGCAATCAAAATATATATGTAATATTTTGGCAGTCAGGCACATAAATGAGGGTTGGCAATGACGACACCGAAGTTAATTATTTTCATTCCACATCTTTATTCAATTCACAGGCATACTATCATTCTTTATTAAATAAGATTAAATTCACTGTGTCATAGTATTCTAACAAAGAAAGGCGGAAAAAATGCTTGAAATGCGGAAAAATGCAGCACAGATCTGAGCAGCAGAGAGAGAGAGCGTTTTCTCTCTGACTCTGACACAAAATGGCTGGCTGGCGCAAGTTTTCTATTTATACAAGCGGTTACCTAATAGGCTGGAATGTTCTGGAAAGTACTAGTCTAGGGGGAAGATACTGAAATTGCGGAAAGTTAATTAGAGGTTGCTTGTTCGCATAGAGAAAAGTCGTCCTATTTTTTATATTTTACATATATATATATATATATACAGTGTGGCCAAAATTGTGGACACTTTTGGAAATTTTTATGTTTTTGAACTTGTATGCTTATAGAAAACGTTACGTTTCCCAAATGCAAACTTTATATATCATTTTAAAGAGAATTTATTACTGAATCAATACAAAGCACAAAATTCAATTTGCAATACAAAAAAAGTTAAACGACAATAGTTCTTGATATACATTAGATAGTGATGATTGCAGTGAGTTTTCAGTACTTAGTAGGGTACCCTTTACTTTTGATTACAGCTTCACATCGATGTTTCATTGAGCTGACAAGAGTTTTAAGCTCTTCTTTCGTTATTACATAGTGCCAGGAAACAATTATAGCCTCAATTAGTTCCCTTTTATTTGATGGGCGCCTCATTCGGACAAGAGTTTTCAAACGGTGCCACAAATTTTCGATAGGATTGAGGTCAGGACTGTTTCCTGGCCATGACAACAATTTAATGCTCTTTGTACGAAACCACTCTTTCGATATTTTGGCTGTGTGGCAAGGAGCAGAATCCTGCTGAAAAATAAACGAAGCATTGTTGGGAAAGA